AATATTTGGCTGATAGATGTGAAACATTCCCACTTCAATTGACCACTTTTACCATTGTCTCCAAGATTGTTCAGTTAGTTGGGTATAGAATGATCTTGTTACCTAATGTTTAGTATGAGACAACTGAAACGGAATTTTTCAGGAGATCCAAACATTCCCATGTTTTCAAGAGTTAAACCTCCACCCAAGTTTAACCACATGTTTCATCACCACATAGAAAGCTTCTTGATGTCTTTACAGCTATAGCTCAAGTTTAACATACTCTTTCGAGACGTTAGCAACCAGCATACAGCCTTTGCTTCATACAGGACCTCAACAAGGCATATTCCTATCATCCATCTCGAACATAATTAGCAATTCAAATATTTTTTGGTACATAATATTGGATAGATACAAAGATATCATAGTCATACTCTGTAATTCACAAGAAGGCAAATACAACGGAAAAGAAACTGCTAATATCATTGACTATGGTTGATATTGTTAAAAGTACCCAACAGTGCTCAGTTCCATTTTTAGGATGGAATGGCATTAGCATAATAATTCTTTTAATAAAGGGCAGGAAAAACTATACCTGGTGGAGCCTCTTTCCTCCTCAATAATTGGTGAGATGTGGTGACGAGCTCAGGCTCTCCATACTGCCACAAGATATCACTAAAGAATGGATGGTCTGCATCCGAACAAAAGACGTTGGAACAGGAAATTTATGAAAATATATTTTCATACTGTAATGCGTGCACTTATGAAACAAATCCAAAAATCTGAATTCCAACTTTTTTTCATTAATATATCGAATTATTACATTCAACGTAAACTGGTACTACTCTAGGGCAATGGCTGCTGTTATAACGAAATCCAAACATTCATAATCAAATTTGTTAAGTCAATATTTGTCAGAGGCACACAGATGTTTGCATTCAGAACAAGTAGCAATCTGATCAGACTCAGTATTCACAAATAGATAAGATAAAGTAAAACTCTTAAAAGGCACAGAAACGAAAAGAAAAAATCATCCATGCAGGTTCATCACATAAGATGTGCATATAACCGAAAATCAACTCCAGCTGAAACTATAAAGAAGATTGTAATATCATCAAATATATACTATAATCATTACAAACCTAAATAATTAATTCAGAGTAAAACAATACACTTAAATTTTCTAAAAATAAAAATAAAAATAGAAAATTTGTAACGAAATTAAACACCTTCAAATCTTCTCGAGGACCTGCACTAATTAAGTGGATTCACTAGGAACTGTTTTCAACAAATTGAACAGATTCCCTTTGTTTTATGTCTTACTTTCATCATCGAAGTACCGTTGTCTTAAACTAGTTTTATACCCTAAAACTATAGTATTAGGAATCAGAAAGCATCTTCTCAATGGTTCTCTCAGTCATCAAGTTGATGCTTGTGCAGTTTAGCAACATGTTTCAATAAGCCACAGCAATCTAATAGCTGAGAACCATGTTGCATAGTATTATTAATGATAAGGTCCACCTATTTAAGCTTCATTTTGAGGATGAAAGATTAAGGATCTAATAAGCGGCAACATGATCCACATCATCACCTCATTACATGTTTTATATATGTGCTCCCAGGATTATTTATCCAGAAACTTTAATACACGACAGACATAAGGAGATAGATGCAAGAGTGAATATAATGTAACAAATCCTAGTATGGCATCATGTTTCTTCACATACATTGAAGTCTCAGGCATCGCTCTAAAATCAAGTGTCATCATCTCCTTCACCGCACAGATTCATGGGCAAATCTACATAATCAGAAAAAGTTCATGATATCAATGAAGGCTTAAAAAAAATAATACCTGTAATCAAATGAATTCTCATTTAAACATAATGCAATATGAAAGGATGAGATCAATTTAGCAACAAATATGCATTTAAAGGAATGCCCTGCAGTAGTCCTCTGAGGGCCCATATTCCCATGAGGCTATCCACTTGGGATATAATTTCTCACAAGTTTAAAAAGCCCCCAAGGGTGTAAAACTGATACTATTCTTCAGATTCGAACCCATTGAACTCATAAGGAAGGTTAGGGGATTTAAGGGTATGAAGCAGGGGAAGGGAAAAAGAATAAAAGAACTACCCAAATATATCTGCCAATCTATGCAAAGAAGACGACTGTAGGAGTTCATTGTGTTCCAACTCAAGGACCCCATCAGTGCTGCAATCAAAACATATTATTAGAAAAGTATTCCATAAGCTAACAGCCTTAAGAAAATAGCTTCTATAACACATTTTTTTTTTTTTACCTTTTATCATCCTGAAGGAAGTTGACCAAGGCCTCCTCCATCGAAAGTACAAGATGCTTACATGGAATTGTCCTTCACGAGGAAAGCCACCTCCTCCACCTGCAGTTCATCATCAATATGTATGGAGTAGAAAAGATCATGGGCCCCTCTCACATTTGACTTAAATAAACACACAACAAAGAAAACAAACAAATAAAACCATTTAGTTTGAAATTTGATCAAAGAAAACATGCAAAACCCTAGTCCTAGCATCAGTACCAAAAGTTTGGCAAATCATAAAACATGAAAACACCATTACTCCATTAACGTTGGCCTAATCACCTATTAAAAAAAAACTAATTGTTTGGAATTTCATCAAAATTCCAGCCATTTCTTAAAACTGAATTACTAAAACAGAACACCAAAAACCTAGTCCCACTTTCCTAATATTAAAAAAGAAGAAAAGATTTAACCAATCATAAATGCTCCATCAACACTTCTCAATCATTAGTTTAACACCATTAATGAAACAATCCCAGTGGGTTTTCCTAACAAACACTTAATCCATTAAAGTTTTACCTAAAACAATAACTAAACTAAATCAACTTTATACTAAGAATTAAAAAACTTACTTTAAATGATAAATTCAACTTCACAGCCCCCCATAAAATTCAACTAGAAACTAAAATACCCGTTGGCATAGTACCATCAACTATTATTTGTATAAGACTTGACAAGACATATATTTGCCCCAAAACAATTGCTGCACTAAACTGTAACAACTTTAAGTTATAAATTAAAAAACTGAACTTTACTATTACAAATTCAAATTCAACAACCCCCCATACAAATTCAACAACAAACTAAAAAACTAAAACCCCCCGTTGATCATCCATTATATCTTCATTAGAATTGATATAAACATAATATTTCCTTAAAATAAGCTAAGAATTGAAAAACTGAACTTTATAATGATAATAAATTCAACTTCAACAACCCTGGCACACAAAATCACAACAGAAACCAAAAATACTCAGTTGACATATCATCATTTATGTCTGTATATGAATTGATAGACATGATATATGCCCTAAAACAACAGCTATTCCAAACTGAACGGAACAACTTTCATGTTAAGAATTAAAAGCTCAACTTATAAGATAAATTCAATTTCACAAACCCCATCATACCAAATACCCAGTTGGCATATCATCAATTATGTTTCTAACTAAATTCACAAGGAACAACTTTATATTAATAATTAAAAAACCAATTGTAATAAAAACTTCAACTTTCAAAAACCCCATCAGTCAAAATCAAAGTAGAAATCATCCACTAGTTTGTATATAAATTGAAAGAGACATATTGAAGGCAGAGAACGTTAAAACAGTAACCAAAATTGAGAAAAAGAAGATGAAAAGTTACCATGGCGAACTGGGTCATGCTCATTTTAATGGAAAAGTAGGAGGACCAGTTAAAGCAAGGACATGAATTGTTGAGAAGAGAGATAAAAAGAGAGTAGATCAACAAACAACCGCAAAAACATGATATGTATTTGTTCCTGTAATACATTTTTATTGCTTTTTTTTTACAAGGTATATTCTTTATCTTTATATATTCAAATACTCATAATCACTATTTTCTTTATGTTTTTAAATATTTATTTTATTATTTCACTAATTTGTATAATTATTTTTCTATGTAAAAATTCAAAGTTGGTTTGAATTAGCAATTTATTCAATAAAATCCGAAATACTATCAAAATTTATAATAAAATTTATTTATTCTTATTAAAGATTTTAATTATATGCACCTTAAATTAACTAATATAACATGATTAAACTTATTCAATTTGGTCTGAATTTCAATACACACGTGTTGTTCAAGTTTTTTTTTTTTTTTTTAATAAAAACATTTGGTTTGATTTGGTTCTGGTTTAGTGAAAATAGTAATTTATAACAAATCCATGGATAGTTCAAATGGTTAGAACCAATTGGAGATAGGGTAGACAACGCACAGTTTCAAGTTTAATTCTCTATTGAAGATTCTTGAATTAAGTTTAAATTGGGGGTCAGTGGATTGTTGTGGTAATCTTCTAAAAATTAGTCGAAGTGCATATAACTAGTTCAAACAATTTGATTAAAAAAACAAATTTAATATCAAATATTTAGTTAACATTGTCATACGCTAGATACTATCATCTAATATGTTACAATGCTGGATAACTTGTTAAATTGTACTACACAAAATGATAGACGAGTTTAATGCTCTGTTTTAAAACCTGAAACGAACCGGCTAGTCAAACCGGGATTGGGTAACCTCTCCGATCCAGTTCAGTTACAAGGGGTTTTTGTTATATTTGAAATTTATAGGGACTGATTGAAATTATTTAGGGTGTTTTTACAATATTTCAAAATTTAGATTCTAATTAATTATTTTGCGCATTTTAAAATAAATTAAAATTTAAGGGACTATTTACAGTTTTTAAAAAATACTTCTGATGCTGATCATGATCGACCTAAGACTCGATCACCTTACCAATCTTATAACAAGTCAGGTTTTAAAACAATGGTTTTAACGATGGAAAGATGTTTTTTACACATACAACTGAAAAACCGTACACCTGTAACATATTATTCAAGTATTTAATCTTAAAACGTCAAACTTGTTATATTAAATGATAATTTACAATGAAATGAGTTGTAACACTTTATTTAGTACTGAAGTTATGTGATTATAAGTTTCATGTTCCAGTAACGTTCAATCTTGTAACGGCAACAAAAACGTCGCGGATTAAACAGTTCTCTTCAGCCTGCCAAATTCTGCAAAATACACGAACAGGGAAACACTATAGAGTTCTTCAAGTTTCAGAAACTGTTTCCTTGATTTCTTTCCATGGATAGTGCTGTTTTGTTTGTTTTCAGATCCTACACAACGGAACTGAAATACACAGTTTGACGATGATTCGTTTAAAGACCTCGTGTACAATCACAAGAAACTTTACGAAAAGTTCAACAAATTCATGTAAGTTGGAGAAGCTGATGAAAAGCTGGGAGAATTTCGGCAAGGATTGATATTTGATCAAGAAGTTAATAGAATGCATACAATTTAGATGAATTGAAGGCATTTATCTTTCGAAGATATGGCCAAAAGAAAAGAAATGTTGTGAGTACTCATGAATTTATAGCATTTTACTACGATTTGAGAAAAAAAGAGGAAACATATATGAAAGGAGGCATAAAGTCATAGGATAAAACCATCCACAAGAATTACGGTCTCTTGTTCTTTGGTGATCTGGGATTGGTTCTCACTTCTGGGAATTTGTTTGTTGAAACGCTGATTCCCATTTGGGAGAGATCACGACGCAGAAAATCGCACCCTTGAACTGCAGACCGACTATGCCAACTTCAGTTGCAGCCTCCACGTTCTTTAACCTGGTGTCAGTCCAAGGCAATAAATTAGCGAGCAAAGTGAAGCTCAAAATGTACGACATTAAAACAAACCCAATCTCTTTCTATAAAACATGTTAAGCCGATTCAGTAGGCAATGCTAGTCAACTTTCAAGAATCCTATTAAATACAGAAAATAGTAACATTGATGTCTTCTAAAAGTCAGATTACTAGCAATAAAGTGATTGTGCAGATCATTTTGACAGATACTTTACAAAATGAAGTTTTGAAATGATCCAAATCCAACTAACATGTCAAGAAGTAGCAATTTTGGCCCATACTTTTGGCAGACTACATCTAGTGGCAACGAGAATAGAAGACATGTAAATCGATTCATACAAGAATCAAGATCTATAAGAGTAATAGTTTAATATATATAAGAATTAGAAGGATCCTGTCATCAATGAAAATACAATCTCCCGAATCAACCTTCAGATGTCTCACGACTTCCAAGTAAAAATCAGGATCAGGTTCCCTCTTTCCTGAAAGAAGGCGAAAAACGTATCACTGTCCAGATGGACCAGCTGTGCTAATGTCCACAACAGATACAGGAACAATCGTTGTTTTGCAGTAGAAGACTCTCTAAAACAGTCAGATGGCATTCAAAAAGAACATTAACTTGTTAGCTAAAATAGCAGAAATCATGCTGATAATACAGGATACTTTGCACACACTGATCTAATCTCGAAATAGAGATCAACAAAAAATCACTGGCTACCCTCTAGTTTGGAAGTGCTGGATGGCTCGCTGAACTATTGTAGTATAATTTGAGACAGAAACCTTTAACATCTTCAGTCATGGTTTGATAGCTCAGAACAAGCTCCTTTCACCAAAACATGCCATACCGCGCTCAGGTATGACATAATAATTTATCCCAAACAGTGAATGACTGTGGTTGAACTTACATGGCTTAACTGCCCTGCAAATTATGGATCACAACAACTCTCAAGCCTAATTCATTCTCACAAGCTGTGACACACATTGCTTTTATGATCACAATAATATTATGTGGAAAAGCTAAAATCTACGAAAAACCGTACTAGCAAAAAGATAAGTATACTACACATGTATTAAACAGAACAGATTCCCTCAAACCTCCTTATACTCAAATGACGGAGAAAAAAAAACATAGATACTGATAGCTGATTCATATCTTGAAGTTATGATCTTATTTCCAATATATATTATAAAATACTAGGTAGATTAAATTTATTCCTAATAGAACAAATGTCAATCTAAATGAATACTTGAAAATCTAAAAAGAAGGCAAGGCAAGGATATATTCTGACCAAAGAAACAGACTAAATTTTGGTGTCACCAGCACATACTGAAACACACACATATACATCCAATTTATATGTTTGGGGTAAGAAAGCGAGTTCATAGTATCAGCAACTTCAAACTAGTGAACATACCTATGGCACAGGACAAAATGTCCATGATAAGTAAGTTGAGATCTTTAATTTGTCCTCAATTATTCTGTACCTACAAAACACATTTTCAAGAAAGATGAGCCTCCACTGTCAAAGGAACTGCCTTTAAAAACTGAAGATGCAACATTGAAATTTTGGCTGATAGTTTTACTGATGAAACTGACGCTTTGGATTTGAATTTGCTTTCAGATTACCATCGAGAGAAATTAAAACTCACAATACTAAATATAGTTTCAACTATAATAAACAACATAAGTGTCTTTAAGTGTATCGTGTACTCTATAAATTTAAAGGCAACTGTTCGGTTTGGTGAAGCAGGTTGTGTGCACTAGCGAGCTGGAGTTCCTCCATCTCACTGGCCCACCATTTTGATAAAATGTTTTCATCACTTCCAATTTGGGAGGTTTTAGCTCTCATGTACCTTATAGACATATAAACAATAAAAATAAAAATTGATACATCTTGCAGGATGCAGAGCTGATTTAGAGGACAGAAGAAATTGCTTATTCTTTGTATGGAATGAGGATTTGCTAATGGATATGAAGGTATTTATGCTATACATAGAGGAAATGTTTTACATTCATAAAAGTCTTTAAACCAATTAGATGGGCACTCTCTGCAGAATATACAGCATGTGTGGGATACTCACTCTTTCCACTAACTTCAGTGTGAACAGAAATTTTAAGCAACGGCTATTATGTATTACCATATTTGTTAAAAGAAAGAAGTTCGTGCATAAATTTCTTTTTTCTGTGCTTAGGTTGGTCAAAAGACCCTCCAAAAGTAAAAACCAAGTTCACCTTACCAGATAGGATAATTAGTGAAAGCATGCATCTCATATTGTTTTGTTTTAAATCAAAAAGCAATTCTTCGACACCTTCTATGTAAAATATCCTCTTCTCATACATTTTTTAAGTCCTGCAGAGATTTTTAGTTAAAATTAGTATTTTACAAATAAGGAGGGATAGATCCATAAAAGAAAGAGAACATAGAGCATATCAGCATATCCAAGGAATAGTCATTCAGAAATAAGATAAATCAGTATATCTGCAATTGATTCTCAAAATATTACAATAAAATACAGTGTTTCACTTTGTAATTTGAGTAATTGGGTGGAAGGATAAGAAAGACAGGCTAAAGTGATTCATGACATAAAGAAAATTACAAACAAAATGATGGTACAGACCACTAACCAGTACAAAAATTGCTATTGAATAAGACTTAGATTTTAGTTGGATAAAATGTTAATTAACAATTTATTATCAATTATTCATATTTGCTTGGCTCACGTATGTAACCAACACTTGTTTTGAAAAAGAATCTAAAACAATAATGCAGTTACCAACATGTAAGAAAAGAAAATAACAAAATAATTTGCATTGTTACTGAAGCAAAACTCGGTTATAAAAAAATACATTTCATATGATTTCTTGTTCTAAAGTTCAAAACAATTTTCAGGCAAAACCCAAACATGCTCTCTGCTCTAACATGGCAGGCACTAGATTGTCAGAGCTCAAAAAAGAAAACTACCAACCTTCCAAATCGAAAGGCCTTCCGTCTTTAAAGAATTTTCTGGCTAACTCCATCTAAATAAGACAAAACATTAGTATAGGACATTTGATAGGGACCAAAGCAAAGAACAGCTCATTTAGATGATCAATTGATGTAATTTAAGAAAGCAATAGAGCGGATTTTAAGCAGAAGGGAGTTATTCAGGCTAAAATCTATCACATGATGAAGAGTATGAGAGAAATTGCCAAAAAAACAGGGCATTACTTTGCAAGATATCCTCAACTTTTGGGAGGAGAGACCACCCCACATTTCCGACAAGTTAAACAATCCAGAAATAGTGATTATTGATCAGCAAGTTAAATTCCAAATCACTTGTGTTTCAATGCAATCCCAGACTTCGAAATATAAAAAGGACACACAACACAAAAAAAAACAATAACATAACCATTATGCAATCAAAATATATACAAGGAATAAAATCCTTTAATGATTTTTCAAATTTCAAACATGAAGTGACCTAATTACATAATAAATTGATCACTACATCTATACCTACAAATTTAATCATTCATACTACAAATGATGCCTCAAATCATATTTACCTGAAAAATGATGTTCTTTCAACTGAATGAAAGATAATATTTGGACATAAGTGTCGCACATACCTCATCAATCAGCCCCTTTTCGAATTCAAGCCATGCAGTTGGGTGCTTGCATTCTATTAGTTCCTTCATAGGCATTCTGAGCATAAATTCTCATTTTGATTATTGCAATCTTAATATAAGGAAATAACTGGAAAGATAAAAGAAAGGCATGCTGACTATCCAAATACTGTTTCTGAAAACTCCCAACCAATGTATTTCCTGAGATTCATGTATCATTTGTTTCCAAAAAGTAAAAAACTGTACCTTGCAAATAAAAAATAAAAAAAAAATTCTAATATTTTATGCAAGCTCAGCAATCATACACAAATAGGCAAAGCAACGGCCAATAAGGCATCAACAACAGTTATCTTCATCACCATGTTAGCACGTGTCCTTAACAAGTTCTTGGTGATAAGCACAACATCTCACACAAACAAGATGCATCAATGCATTAGATGCGGTCGTCTATTACCTTTATAGACCCTAACTCAAGATGATTAACGTATTTTTATGAGTTTCTACGATTGGAAGCATTTACTTCTAGGCGTTAACTAAGCTCAACAGCCATTTTGATCATCTTAAAGTAAGAGAAGTGCAGAAAGATGCCACCATTTCATCAAGAACCTTTCTGAAGTTGCAAAATCATCATAAACCTCCCCTAAAATTCCCAAAAACATTTAAACTCTAAGTTCTATAAAATTTATCATAACTAAAACCACAACACAAACACACTACACACTCAAGAAGCTTTTCTTTTTATGTTATAATATCGCAACAATTAATTACACGTTCTCAATTATATACCCAAGATGTATGGTTATATTTTAAATTATCGCATCAATCAAACCGTTAACCAAAATAATATTCATCCTCATTGAATATGTTAACTTCTCCAATACAATACAATACAATACCAACATTATAGAAATAACCATGATATTTAAAGAAACATTTATTTCTCTAAGTTTTAAAAGATTATCAGAAACTACCATTAAAAACAAAGTCTCCACCTATTCTCTAAACCAAACAATCTACTCTTCACGAAGCTTTCCCTTTCTTAGATCATAATCACATCAACATTGAAAAGTAGCATGAAAACTGAGAATATTTCATCCTCATTCAATGGTCTTAAGTATTAACTTCTTCGACATGATACTATATCAGCATTATTGAAATAACCCACCAGCAAAACAACCCCACTATCTCTCTTTACCCTTTATTTGATCAGAATTCTTCACAAATAATCTAATTCTGCTCACACTAATTCATTTTCATTGCTTACGTAGAAGTTTTTTTTTTTTTTCCTTCAAAGGGCTTTGACTTTGGCGTCCCAATTTCTAACAAAAACATAAACAAATAAAGCAAAAGAGCGAGTACCCAAAGAAGGCAGGGACATCCTGGTAAAAAGGGTCGCGAACGATTGTGTCCATGATGTCAAAGAGCAGTATGGGGAGCTTTCTCTGTTGAGTTTGTCCACTCAATGAGGCCATGAGGGGCCTTTTTGTAATGTTTTTAAAGCTGGGATTCAAAGAAATTCTTATGGGTTTTCTAGAGGAAGGTTTTAGAGGGATTGCTGTTGTTGAACTCAGTGTGGTAGGTACTCTCATAGACAGTGCTGCCATTCAGATTGTAGTTCCGAATTGTGTGGTGGGTTGGGTTTGTTTTGTTTGGTACCCGGGAAAATGAAGTTGTATTATCATTTTAGTCCCTGTTGTTTTTGTTAATTTCTAGGTTTAATTCTTGACCTACCCTTACTTTTATTAGAATTTCAAAAATATCTCCCTAGTCTGGAAACTATCCATCACGTTCCTTGTATGAATAAGTTGTATTGTATTATGTGATGATTCATAGGATAGTTCAATGAACCGAGCCGCTTGCGAGCTGGCTCGGCTCGGTTCGTTAACGACTCAACTTGATTGAATTTCAGCCAGTTTAGCTTAGTTCGTGAGACGTTACGAGCCGAGTTTAACCTTGATTCAGCTCGGCTCGGCTCGTTAGGCTCGCTAGCCGAATCAGGCTCGAACTCGTAGGGCCGATTTAGGGTTTTTAAAGTAAGGGGGATTAAAAAAAAATTCAAAGGAAAATGTTTTCAAAAATGATAAAGATCCCCTCGATTTTTAAGCCCTAAGAACATGACTCCGCCACTGTTTGTCGTAAAACCAAAAGGAGTCAACAAATTTAGGCAAGTGTAAGCTACCTCCAGTTTCTTTCCTCGTCGTCGTCTGCTTCGTGGGGTCTCCTTCAAATCTCGTCGTCAAACGACTCAAACCCATCTGCTTCGCCATTGTCTGCTTCATCGGGTCTCCTTCAAATCTCGTCGTCAAACGACCTAAACCCATCTGCTTTGGCGTCGTTTGCTTCGTGGGGTCTCCTTCAAATCTCGTTGTCAAACGACTCAAACCCATCTGCTTCGTCGTCGTCCGTCGTGTTTTCGGCTTGTCGCAGCTGATAACCCTTCAAATCTCGTTGTCGCAGTCGACGTCAAGGTTGTTGTCTTGCTGAAGGTGTCAGCTTGTAAAGGTATTTATTTATGTGTGTTATTTTGGTCACAGATATGAATGTTATCTTGGTTTTAGTTTGATTAATTTAATACATACAAAGTCACACTCACACACAAACGAAAGACCCCATTCATCTTGGTTTTTATACTCTGTTTAATTCCGACCACCAATTCAGTTATCAAATATACCATCAATGCATTATGCAAAATATTTGATAACTGAATTGATAACTCAGGTCCCCGAAAAATATTTGCTGCCCAGTGAGGACCTCTAGAACCAGCCAATGACTATCTGCTCTAAATTTATAAAAAAAACTGCATTTTTTTTTTTTTTGGTGGCTCGCGAGCTGGCTCAAAATCCATTCCCCCTTACAACAGTTGAGCTTGTTAAGAGAAAAACTCGGCTCGGCTCGGCTCGAAATAGCCCAGGTGATGAATGCTAGCAACATTTTCGTTTTTACTCTTGCACTTCCTTCTTGATAGACAGAAAGTTGCTAGTTCGGTTTTTTACACAAAATCATATTAAGAAAAATAAAGACTTTTTCTCACCCAAAAAGTTTCAAAATACTATTTTCTCACCTAAATTTATATTTCAAAATACCATTGTATTATAAAATGAATGAATAAAACCGTTAAACTTATTGAGTTCCTTGTGCTAATAACGTATTATAATTTTAGTGATGTAATTGTAATAAAATAAACTAAGAAGTAAGAAGGACCGAAAATAAAAGAGTAAAATAAAGAGAGCTGAAATGAAAAACTTTTATTAAACAACCGTGTTTGTGTGTGTTTACAGGAGAAAGTGGGGGTTATTCATATAGCCAGCCGCCCACTTAGAACAAATAAAACTTTGACATGCGTAAATGTATCCGTCATTTGAGTATCATAACAAGGGCCATGTGTTATAGTCTAAGGTACGTGACAAGTTTGGTGGATGCCCACCATTTACATTAACAAGTTTATATTATAACAAAAGAGTTTCTAGTTTGGTTCTTATTCACGCCCAAAATAAAAGTGAAAGGGTGACTTCCTGATTAGCAAAATTAGATATTTGATATGAATTTTTTTAATTTTAAAGAGATTGATTAAGGAGGTTTGTTCATTTTATTGACTCCTAAGTTCGAATCTTAAGACTATTTATCTCACTTGTGGCTTTTCTTACTATTATCCTTGTATAAGATAAGCTTGACAAATTTCAAGGGTCGAGGTCGAGAACCTTACCTCTAATCTTGATTTGAAACACGTACATTTGTAGCTCAACTTCGACTCTAATCCTTGCCTTCGGTTCTAGCCTTCTAGGGTGGCATCTTTTCCCAACAACTCTCAAATTTTCCGAGGATACCTTGTCCAATGAAACTGGATTTTCCCAAGCAACCGATCCCGTCTAGTATTTTTGCCAAACCTAACATGAACAGTGGTTACCAATACCTTAGCAAAATCTGAGAAGTGATAAAGGTCAATAATAATTTAAAGTAAAATGTTTGGGGAAATAATCAAAATTAAGCAAAAGCTCAAGGGGAAATCAATGACATTGAAGGGAGTTTATTACAAGACATAATGTCCCAATTCTAAATTATTATTGTTATACAAAGCACAAGTTATAACTTATTTCAATGTATAATACAATTCAATAAACAAACCAAGGAATGAAATAATTTAATTAACATTCTCTTCTTATAGCAAAACTTCGCCGAAATGCTTATCACGAGTTCATCGACCAAGACTGGAAATTATTGCCAGACTCAATAATCTTGATAGTCTGGAAACTTATGGGATATGAATATGTTGTGTAGGTGGCCTCGAGCAGATGAGTTTACAACATCGTCTTGTACACTTTACAAATAAATTAGTAATCTGCTCTCCTGCTGCTGCTAAGATCACTTGTAAAATCATTGTCATCATTTTCGCATTGTTGCAGTAGTTCATTATACTCGGGATTATATGCAGCAGCTAAACGCAGATGCTTTACAGCTTCAGCCTTGCGACCTACATTATACAAAGCACTGAAAAACACAGTAGTTAGTGCCCAAACAATAGACCTAAATTGTAATGACGATATTGATCAATTCCGAGACAAGCGATTATCAGGTTTTAAGTAAAAATACTTGAGAAATGATTGTGTAAATTCATACCTTGAAAGTAATACCAATCCATCATAATAATGGGCTTTGGAACTTTTTTCCTCTGGCTCTTCCAAATTTGCAATTCTCATCAATATATCTATAATCATTACAAACGCTAAATTAATTAATTCAGAGTAAAACAATACACTTAAATTTTCTAAAATAAAAAATAAAATAGAAAATTTGTAACGAAATTAAACACCTTCAATCTTCTCGAGAACCTGCACTAATTAAGTGGTTCACTAGGAACTGTTTTACAACAATTGAACAGATTCCACTTTTGTTTTATAGTCTCTTACTTTCATCATCGAAGTACCGTTGTCTTAAACTAGTTTTATACCCTAAAACTATAGTATTAGGAATCAGAAGGCATCTTTCAATGGTTCTCTCAAGTCATCAAGTTGATGTTGTGCAGTTTAGAACATGTTTCAAAAGCCACAGCAATCTACAATAGCTGAGAACCATGTTGCCTAGTAATTATTATGATAAAGTCCACCTATTTAGCTTCATATTTGAGGATAGAAGATTAAGGATCTAATAAGCGGCAACATGATCCACATCATCACCTCATTACATGTTTTATATATGTGCTCCCAGGATTATTTATCCAGCAAACTTTAATACACCACAACATAAGAGATAGATCAAGAGTGAATATATAATGTAACAAATCCTAGGTATGGCATCATGTTTTCTTCACATACATTGAAGTCTCAGGGCATCGCTCTAAAATCAAGTGTCGATCATCTCCTTCACCGACAGATTCATGGGCAAATCTACATAATCAAAAAAGTTCATGAATCAATGAAAGGCTTAAAAAAATAGTAATCCTGTAATCAAATGAATCTCAATTTAGAACATAATGCATATATGAAAGGATGAGATCAATTTAGCAACAAATATCGCATTTAAAGGAATGCCCTGCAGTAGTCCTCTGAGGCCCATATTCCCATGAGGCTATCCACTTGGGATATAATTCTCACAAGTTTAAAAGCCCCCAAGGGTGTAAAATCTGATACTAGTCTTCAGATTCGAACCCAGTGAACTCATAAGGAGAGGTTGGGGATTTAGGGTATGAAGCAGGAAGGGGAAAAAGGAATAAAAGAACTACCCAAATATATCTGCCAATCTATGCAAGAGAAGCACGACTGTAGAGTTCATTGGTTCCAACTCAAGGACCCATCATTGCTGCAATCAAACATATTATTAAAAATTTCACAAAGCTAACAGCCTAAGAAAAATAGCTTCATATAACACATTTTTTTTTTTTTACCTGTTATCATCCTGAAGGAAGTTGACCAAGGCCTCCTCCATCGAAAGTACAAGATGCTTACATGGAAGATTGTCCTTCACGAGGAAAGCCAACTCCTCCACCTGCAAGTTCATCATCAATATGTATGGGTAGAAAAGATCATGGGCCCCTCTCACATTTACTTAATAAAACACACACAAAGAAAACAAACAAATAAAACCATTTAGTTTGAATTTGATCAAAGAAAACATGCAAAACCCTAGTCCTAGCATCAGTACCAAAGTTTGGCAAATCAAAGAACATGAAAAACACCATTACTCCATTAACGTTGGCTGGCCTAATACACTATTAAAAAAAAAACTAATTGTTTGGAATTTCATCAAAATTCCAGCCATTTCTTAAAACTGAATTACTAAAACAGAACACCAAAACCCTAGTCCCACTTTCCTAATATTAAAAAAGAAGAAAAGATTTAACCATCATAAATGCTCCATCAAACACTACTTCCTAATCATTAGTATTAACACCATTAATGAAACAATCCCAGTGGGTTTTCCTAACAAACACTAATCCATTAAAGTTTTACCTAAAACAATAACTAAACTAAAAATCAACTTTATACTAAAGAATAAAAACTTACTTTATAATGATAAATTCAACTTCACAGCCCCCATAAAAATTCAACAGTAGAAACTAAAAATACCCAGTTGGCATAGTACCATCACTATTATTTGTATAAAGACTTGACAAAGACATGATATTTGCCCCAAAACAATTGCTGCACTAAACTG